AAAAAAAAAAAAAGTTGTACCTTGTTACACACCTACCGACACTAAATCATTTTTTTTTCCAGCTTCCTTTTTTTTTTTAAAAAAGAATTGAATGGCAGTTGAATTTAAAAAAAAAATAATAACAATTGGTTAAATGTACCAAAAAAATTAAATAAATAGAATAAAATGAAATAAAACCTGTAGCAACCTTACAAATATGTGGTACAAAAAAAAAAAAAAAAAAAAAATAGCCGAACCACTTTTTATGCTTTTTTTTTTTTTTGTGGCACAAAAAAAAGGGATTTTTTTGGCACAAAAAAAAACTATAATTGATCATAAGTAAATGTCAATAAATGGAGAATAAAACCTGTGTGCCTTTTTTTTTTTTTTTTTTTCATTTCCAGCTTCTTTTTTTTTTTTTTTTTTTTAAAAAAATCAACCCGACATTTTTTTTTTTTTTAATTCTTGGAATTAGCCACAAACTCCAGTAATCGGATGTTTTTAAGGGATGTTTACTTTCAGATACGAATAAAAAAAAAAAAAAAAGAGAGAGAGAGAGAGAGAGAAAAATCATATAATTATAATAAATGTTTATTTGTTATTTTCCTTATTCCGATCCTGACGAATATTTTATTTTAACAAAAATATTGATACGATTTCACGCGGGAATTTTTTTTTATAGGGAGTAACGGAAAAATTTTGATGATTAAATTTATTACCTTTTTTTGTTTATGTAATAAAAAGGAGAAAAAAAAATTTAAAAAAAAAAAAAGATGGCGAAAGATTTTTGCATTAGAAAAAGGTCAAAAGCCATTAATAATAATCGATGTTTATTGATATGCGGATGAGAAATAACAAAAGGAAGATTTATAGGTCAGAAATTTTGGTCATTTTGGGTCTCGACCCCAACGTGAAAGAACAATGACGGGGTTGAGAACTTTGACACTGGAACGTTCCCTGGAATATTTTACATACATATATATTTGACCCAAATGTTAATAAAATTTTCTGATTATTGTATCAAAAAAAATTTTAAACTATTCAATTAAACGGAAAAAAAAAGAAAGAAAAATTTAAAAAAAAAAGAGAGAGAGAGAGAGAGAGAGAAACGTATGAATGAAAAACCAACCGAAAAATAATCAAATTTAATTTTTCACAATTTGTTACCCGATTTACTCCCTCCCACTCTCTCCCCTTCTCTCTCTCTCTCTCTCTCTTTCTCTCTCTTTCCCTCTCTTGTTCCCTGGAAAACAAAATCATTTTTTTTTTTTTGGAATTTATTATCCAGTATTATTATCACTCCATGAAAAAATTAATTTACAAAAAAAAATAAATTGTGTTTACTTATTTTTAAAATAAATTTACGTTTATGATTTAAAATAATAATAATAATAATAATAACAATTTTGAATAAAAAGTTCAATGACTTTTGTTTTGTTTTTTTAATTTTCTTTAAAAATTATAACGTTCAATTAAAACACAGGAGAAGGGGGAAGAGAAGGAAAAGGGGGATGATGATGGTGGTGGTGGTTATTTACAGTTACTGGACAATTTTAATTAAAATGGCCCTGGTTGAAAGATATTTATTTTATTTAAAAAATGTCACAGAGTTTCTTTGTTTGCTTTCTTTACAGAGAGAGAAAGAGAGAGAAAAAGCCAAAAAAGGAAGTTGAACAAGAGAAAAATTTCAAGACTTTTTTTTTCTTCTTTATTTTGACAAAAAAGTCAACCCTCCAGAGCTTTTTATTTTTATTTTTTTTATTTTTTTCCTCTAACGGGAGTGGTTATAAAAATAATAACGAAAAAAAAATAAAATAAAATGATTATTATTTTTTAAATAAAACAAATAAAAAAATGAGTCTTTTTAAAAAAAAAAATACATTTTCCTCACGGGGATTTCAATATAAAATGATTTGAATTTTCCTTACGTGAACGTAACGAGGTATAATGTTCTTAGAATGAGATGAAAATTCACACTCCCCCATTCAAAAGGATTTGCTCCCGCGTAAAAAAAAAAAAATTCTTAAATGAATTAAATTTATAAGGGAAAAAACATTGTTACGTAGTTTTTTTTATGATATAATAATAAATAAAAAAAATATATATATATTTTTTATCCGTGGCTTGGTCACTTATTTTTTTTTTTTTTTAAAAAAAGGAGAAATTAAAAAAGGTTTGAGGATCTGGACAAAAAATATAAAAAAAAAAAGGTAAAATAATAATAATAATGATAATAGAAAAAGGAAGTAAAAGAATATGGACAATATGTCGTGGAAAAAATCGTTAATTTTTTTTTTTTAATTTAAAAAAAAATATGTGTTTGATATTGTTAATTTAGTCCTTGACCATTGATTTTGGACCCCCGATAATATTTTAGGCCTTTTAATTGTTATTATTATTATTTTCTCTTTTTTTTATTTACAAACACACAAAAAAATTGTTATTATTATTATTATCTTACGCATTACAAACAAATGCAACGGAAAAATGTAATTTTTTTTTTTATTTACGTAAAAACGACGACGGTTACATTCTTATTTTTTATCCGTTATTAAATAATAATAATAATAATATTACGTAATAATATAATTAAATCATAATTTATACAATTATTATTATTATTATTTACAAATAAATGAGAAAATATTTCGATTTTTTTTTTTTTTTGATAAAATAAATATTTTTAATATTTACGAATTTAAATAATAATAATAAATAATTATTATTATTATTATCATCACAATTAACAATAATAAAAAAATTAAAAATGTCGAGTTAAATCGTTTTTCTCCTTACCAAAAAAAAAAAAAAAAAAAAAAAATAGTAATAATAATAATAATAATAAAGAAAGAAAGAAAGAAAGAAATGCCCTCCGACATTTATTTAATATTTAACTTATGATAAATAAAACCAATATACGACGGGGGGGGTGTTTTTTTTTTTTTTTCTATTTTTTTCCTTTTTTTTTTTTTTTCATCCCTTAGTCTTCTAGGGTGACTCAGGGTGACTACCATCGGTCAGTCTTGTTTTAGTAACGCAAGTGTAACGAATATTATTATTATTATTAGTATTTTTTTTTTTTTTTAAATCATTTTTTTTTTAATTTTTTTTTTTTTTTTTTTTTACGTTTCGTTTCGTTTCGTTTTTTTAAATACATATTTATTTATTATTATTATTAATATCAATATCGATTCATGTGTTTTACGTAATAATAATAATAATTAATATATTAATTAGTTATTAAAGTGGGAAATTATTAATTTGATAATAAATAAAAATAAATAAGAAAAAACTTATGTGGAATTTATCCGATAATTCATATCCAGGGTAATTAAAAATTTTATTTATTTATTTATAGATAGAGTCGAGTTAATAAAAATTATTATTATTATTATTAATTTTTATTGCGGATGTTATGTAATGTAAAATAATAATAATAATTTTTTTTATATCATTAAAAAAAAAAAGGCAAAACACATTTTAACTTGTTTCGTTGAATTTTTTTTTTTTTTTTTTTTGTACCCGACGGTTAAAATTAAATTTAGCAAGTTTTAACAAAAACATTGAATATAAAAATATTTTTATTAATTTTTACCTTTTTTTTTTTTTTTTTTTTTTACAATTATTAAATACGCAAATAATTAACTTAGCTATTAATCAAACAATTAAAACCCCCCGTAAAAATTTAAAAAAAAAAAAAAATTTCAATTGAAAAATAACCTCGAGTCTTAAATAAATTAGAAAAATAATTTTTTCACCCAAGGTAGGACGCGTTTTTATAAACGTTTTTAAAAATTTTCCTTTAGTTAATAATAAATATATTTAATCATTATTATTATTATTATCGTGTTTTGTTTTTATTATTAAAAGTATGAATAACAATTAATAAATATTATTAACATTATTACTTTTTTTGGTGAAAAGTTACGCATATATACACGTGAGTGTTTTGAAAATAATTATTTATGTATTTAAAAAAGTGGGGGGCGAGGGGGTGGAGTAGGTGGAGGTAGGGGGTTAAAAACCCTTTTTTTTATTGTAATGTAATAACATGTCGTCACAAATTACATAAAAAAAAAAAAAATTGTTTTGACACGAGTATTCACCCCAAAAAAAAATATAAATATAAATAAAAATGTTTTTATACCTTAAATAACCTTAACTAAACCTCTTAATATTTACCCGCAACAACAAAAAAAAAAGAAAAAAAACAGGTTAATAAAAAAAAACATCCCTTAATAAATCTCACAAAAAAACAACCCCTAAGCGGTTTTATGATCATTCAATCAACCAATTTTTTTATCCACGTTTTTTTTTTTTTTTGGGGTGAATTTTTTTTTTTTTTTTTTTTTTTTTGGGGTACATAAAAAACCTAAAAACATACAAGTGTATTGAAAAGTGAATTTTTTTTAAAAAGGGGATTGAAATAATAATAATAATAATTATTATTATTATTACTATTTATCATGTTTTACATTTTATTACATCATTATTAATTAATCAGTTATTAATTGATACAAGTTTTAAAAAAAAATTTTTTTGATTTTTTTAAAATACAAAATTTTTATCCGTTGCTTATTGACATAATAATAATAATGATTATTTAATAGTAATCCATCACGTGTTCATTTTACCTGTCGTTTGAATTTGGGACAATAAAAAAAAAAATTTACCACGTTTCATTACACGTGTATATATTAGATAATTTCTTTTCATTTATTTATCATTCATAAATGTTTGTTTTTTTTTTTTTTAGTTTAATTAATTTTTACCTTTTTTATAAGTTTAAAGGTTAATTAACCCATTTTTCATTTTAAAAAAATAACAATTAAATAAATTTTTACAATAATATTTTTTTTCAAAGCACTCAAAAATTTTTACGTATGCGTAACTTCACCCTGAAGTCTATTAATAAACGCGTTTTTTTTTTTCATACACAATAACATTTTTTAATCTAAGTCCTACGTGGGTCACGTGATTAAATATATATATATATAATTTTCATTTCAGGCACAGATACATGGAACACTTAAGCACTCATTATTCGGAGAGATGTACTTTGTGCGATTTTACCGGGCAAAACTCTCAAGACTTGCGAAATCATTTGCAAGATGTTCACAACATATCCGATATTGAAGACTTGTCCGATCCTCAAGACAATAATTCCGATTATCAGGACGACGATGAAACGCCCACGAAACGTGGAAAATCGAAATCGTTTAAATGCAAACAGTGTAACTACGTCACGACGACGAAACTAGATTTTTGGGAACATTCAAAGGGACATATAAAAGCAGAAAAATTATTGACTTGTCCTAAATGCCCCTTCGTCACAGAATACAAACATCACTTGGAATATCATTTGAGAAATCATTTCGGATCTAAACCTTTCAAGTGTACAAAATGTTCGTATTCGTGCGTAAACAAAAGCATGCTCAATTCTCATTTGAAAAGTCACAGCAACGTTTATCAATATCGGTGCTCAGATTGTGCTTATGCGACCAAATACTGTCACAGCCTTAAATTACATTTGAGAAAATATCAGCACAAACCCGCAATGGTGCTCAACGCGGACGGTTCACCCAATCCGTTACCCATAATCGACGTGTACGGTACTAGAAGAGGACCCAAGCAAAAATCTCAAGTCAAAATAGACGAGACCGAAGACAAAAGTATTTTTTTAGACATTCGAGTTCCGACAACGGATAAAAATATTCCGAACCTTCCGGGAGGAGTTATCGTACCGAACGCCCCTCACATTTCACCTCAATCGCCAAGTTCTTTGTATTCCTTAAATAATAACGATATTAAAGAAGAAAGTCAAAACGGATTGTCTCCCAAATTGTATTTTTGCAGTATTTGCGAATTTCAAACAATCGCACCGGAAATATTAAGGCAACACGTTTTCCTTCACGCCGCCGAAACGAATTTAGCTCAAATATTAAAACAAACAACAATCTACAAGATCAAAATGCCATGAAAGACTATTTTCATAACGTTTTCAATCAAACGGATCAAACGTCATTTTTAGATGCGAGATCAGATTCTCCACTGAGTTTAGTATCACCGAAATTAAATCACCGGAAACGAAA